TGTGTGGTGTGTGTGGTGTGTGTGTGGGGTGATGGAGAGAGTCTTCCAACAGCTTTCCAGTTAAAAGTTTGAATTTTCAGTTTTTTTTTTTTAAATTGGAATCACATCTTATAAAGGTTAAAAAAAAAGTCATGAGGAAAAACAAATGATAAATTCCCTCAGAGAGAATGTCATAATCCTTGTCAGTTTAAAACCACAATTGAAACATGGGGAACAAACTGACCTAAAGAGCCAGCAAATACAATGCCTTTTTGCTTGCATAAAGGACATTGTCACTCTCTCCATCTAGGAAGAAGTTGGTCCCTCACATACGAAGACATCAACCCTTCAGCGATCACATCTTTTATTACGATCAGATTACATACTTGGACTTGACTGATCAGGTCTGTCAGAGGCTGTATGTCCTTTGTGGAGATGCTACACAATTCAGATATTCCTCAATCACATTGGAAATGTGACTGTGAACCACCGAAGAAATGGCCAGACTTGCTATCAAAGATCACAGCCTACTGAGTGAGCACTTGTCCTTTGGTATGTGTGGGGTTCGGTTTCAGCTCCACACCAAAGTCCATGGATACTGGTCTCTTGTATGAAATGGTGTCATATTGTCATGTTTAGCGTAACCTACACATAGTCTTCTGTGTACAGTTTAAATCATCCCTAGGTTAATAAACTACAACAGCAATGCAAACTGTGGTTGTAAGACATGGTTTAAATAGCATGGATGAAGAAACAGGCCTGTACACGCCGACATTTGAATGCGAATGTTCCCCATAGGCTTAAGTGTTTCAAGAGCTGGTTCCCAGGAGGTGGTGCTGTCTGAGGTTTAGGAGGTGTGGCCTTGATGGAGGAAGTACATTACTGGGGGTGGCCTCTGAGGGTAGATAACCTTGACTTACTTCCATTCTGCTCCCTCTGCTGCCTGCTTGTGGTTGGAGACGTGAGCTCTCCATTTCCCACCTCTGCCTCCATGACTGCTGCTTGCTACCCAACCACCCTGCCATGATGGACTATTTTTCCCCTCTGGAATCATAAGCCTCAAAATCTCTTTCTTCTACAAGTTGCCTTGGCCATGGTATTTTATCATAGCAACAGAAAAGTAGCTAATATAGCCCACGTTATGGTTTGGATCTACAGTGTTTCCAATGGCTCTCATGTTGAAGGGGCTTGTCTACTATTTACAGAGGGCCATGAGGGCACTGACTTCATCAATGAGTTCATCCATTCATGAGTTTATACTGGGTGGATTGGGAGGTAGGGTCTGCAGAGGCCACTGTGGACTTGACTTTGCTGGGCATATCTTGTTTGGATTCTTCTCTTGCTTTGCTTCCTGGATGCCATGAAATGAACAGTCAGATTTCCTCTGCCTCATTTTTCCCTTGTGGGGGCTCTGCTCTACCTAAGACCTCAGAGCAATGATGTCAAGTAATCATTGACTGAACACAATGAGGCAAAATACATTATTCCTTTTTTCAACTGTACCTTGAAACATTAATCCTGGGGATGGCAGACTAATACAGTACAGATGAAGTTTTATTCTCTGGAGATTAAACATGAGGGCAAGTGTTCTGCCACTATGCTCCACCCCAGGCACAGATGAAACCTTGATAAAATTTCCAGTCCATGGTTGTCTTGGTAGAGCCCGCACGTGTACAGTAGTAAATGGGTGCTTCCAAAGGCCAGTGTGTGAAGGCTTGGTTCCGAGCACCATGCTACTGGGAGGTGGCGGTGCCATTGAGAGGTAGGGCCCAGAGAAGGGCTCTAGGTCACTGGGGACACACCATTGAAGGGGATGGTGGGACACTAGTCCTGTCCTGTTTCTGTTGGCTGGCTTGAGATGTAAGCAGTTAGTTTGGCCGCATATTTCTTCTACGACATGTCACTCTTCTCAGGGGCTCAAAGCAAGGGCCTTGCCCAATTTCCCCTGGAAACTCCCAGAACTGTAAGCCCAAACAACTTTATAAGCTATTGTCTCAGGTTTTACAGGAACAGAAAGCTGACTGATACATGCAGAAAACACACCAAATGCGTGGATTGAGGTGATGATATCCACAGGTGAGGCACGATGATTCCTCTGCTTTGGAAATGTTTCTACCTAACTCTTTGGGGCGAAAGTCCCCATCCTCCACATGGTCCACATGCTCTGCATAGATATTCACTCTGCAGATGCCCTGGGCATTTGAATAGATGGTAGTTTCAGGTTCCCTCATTTCAGACATGCCACTCAAGAAATGGGCAGATTGGGAGAGACAACACAGATGGTGAGGGATGGGGAGGGGTGGAACATTGTCTTTGGCAGTGTTCCTGGTAGCATGAGAATCTCCACCTAGGCGGATCCTCCCTGCACCCAGGAACAGTTGGTAGGTAGGCTGATGTGCTGCAGCAGGTGCTGAGGGACAGAAATGATTCCAGAATGACACAGCAGTGCCGACAGCTCACCTGAGAGCACACAGCATCAGTGGACCAAGAGGTCACATGCACCTGCGGCAGAGCATTGACCAAAGCACAGGTGAACATCCCTGGTTATCTAGACAACGCTGGGGAAAGGCTGTATGCTGGGTAGCAAACAGTCTTTAAATATAGAAAGATATTTATTCCCATTATCCCTTTTTAACACCAGTCAGAATAAAAGCATTCCTAGCCTCTGTATATAGCTCCTCAACATTTAGTCTCTCTGAGCTGTTGAGATTATTCGATCTCACAGAAACCATTACAAGCAGCGCCCTATCCTGATGACAACAGCAAGCTCCCTCCTAATTTGGCAAAGGCGCAGAGCCTCGTCTCTGTTGCTATATATGCAAAAGAGTCAGGAAGCACATTTGGTTCTAGCATCTTTTTGTTAAAAAAATGGCATAAACTCTTGATGCAGAGAGAGGGGAGAGAGAGAAAGAGATGGGGAGAGAGAATGAGAGACAGAGAGGAGAGAGAACAAGAGAGAGAACGACAGAGAGAGAGAGAGAGAGAGAGAGAGAGAGAGAGAGAGAGAGAGAGAGAGAGAGAGAACGAGGCCATGCTACCTGCTACTTCTCCAAAAAGTTGCCCTGAGATGTTCATGTTCTCTGAGTTGGAGGAAGCCTCTCTGAGAATGTTAATTAAGCTTATTGTGGTTACTCAGTTGACCCTTAGTTTCAGGAACATTCTCTTCTTAGACAGCTGAAATGGCTATCCGTTCCTCCAAGCTCTTCTGATGCCTGAAGGATTCACTACCTTCTGCCTCATGGATTTTGAAGCCTGGCCATCCTCAATTAGTCTTCAGTTTGCCTATGTGGGTGAGCCAGACAGAGCATTGCTGGGATCATTGATGACTAGAGTTTACTTCTTACGGTATATAATGATTTTCACGCTTCGCAACAGCTTGGAAGGCAAATGAACACTCCTTGCAGGAAGGGGTTCTGTGCATCTTCCCAGCCACATGCTCCAGGGTGGACTGAGTCCCAGCCTGTGTTACTACCCCACCTGGCTTCTGAGTCCACACTGACACTACAGTGTCACCACCACTGCCTGGGAATCTGAGCAAAGGCTGCTTCCCCGAGCCCCGTGTGCAGCGTGTCTAAGATAAATGCAGCAGGACCGAGACATTCGAGCACCAAACCCTTAAAAAGGTAATGTCAGGAGTGTGCTGAATGGGAGGCAAAGGCATCAGTTCGGTGGTTTCACAGGAGAGTAAAAGACCCAGCAACTGAGATCTTAAAAGTGTCATCTAAAAATACAGACACGTGTGGCTGGCTGAGGCAGCTCCTCAAAGGATGCTGCACAGTTTTCAGAACACCAGTTCAGCACTCCAGCCGGTGCCCACGTGCTGGCACACCTCGCGACTTCAGAGGCTCTGCTGAGAGCTGTCACATTACATAACATCTGTGAGAGGGTCGATGGCACGGGCATTTTCTGTATTAACATGGAAACTCCTTCCTCAGATCTAGAGTGTTGGTGGCCACAGCGAATCTCTTTTCCACCTACTTCCCTGATTCCCTCACAGTCAACCAACAGAAGCTCTTGTCTAACAGTCCAGGGTTGTGCTGTCCTGAACTGGGGAGACAGTTTGGCTCCAGGAGACTGCTCGGTAACTCAGGTTCCTACCCTTACTTCTGTCTCTTCAAGTGTTCTCACACGCACGGTCCCTGTGGCGGGCTCGCAATGTTAACCCTAAGGGAAAGGAGAGGAAACGGGAAGGCCTCAAAACACCAAACCAAACTGTGCCTCCTCCCACCAGAACTTCATTTTCTGAAGTGGTTGCTGTCCTTTCTCCCTCCCACACAACAATTACAGAGGAGAACTGCCAGCTCTTCCTAGTTGTGATGACCACAAATATCTCCACACACTGCCCAGCAGCCTATGATGGGAGCCTGTTCCCTCTGGTTGGGAACCACTACTACCTGTCTCCATTAGGCAGCATTTCCCTGGGGTAGGCCTAAGTTAGTTCCTCCTTGAAGGAATTAATGAAAGCATTGCCCATCACTTGCCTGGATTCCTCAACAATGCTTTTTTTTTTTTTTTTTTGGTTTTGCAAGACACGGTTTCTCTCTGTAGTTTTAGTGCCTGTCCTGGATCTTGCTCTGTAGACCAAGCTGGCCTCCAACTCACAGAGATCCTCCTGGCTCTGCCTCCCAAGTGCTGGGATTAAAGGTGTGTGCCACCAGCACCTGGCAACAATGCATTTGTTTTTAATTCTTTCTGCAGTCTTAGCAGCACAAATTGGTTCTAAGCAAATTCTTTCAGTGCTCTGTTACTACTGGATGGTCTGTGTTGCTCTGGTAGTTTCCTATTGATAATTTGGAGGTGAGGGAGAAGCACAGGATAGAGAAATTGAACTTTCTGCCATGCAGAGGGCAAGCTTGAGTTTTGTAGAAGGGATCAGAGCACAGCCCAGGACCAACCACACTCTAAGCAATACATCTTCCTGCCAGATTGCACGTGTTATCTGCAACCACCCTTCTGGGAAGAAGTCCCAAGCAGAGATCCAGAGCCCCTGTAGCTGATTCAGTGCAGGAGAGTTTTCTCCTTAGCCACAGTGATGTGGGAGTCTGTGAATTTAGTCATTAAACCTGACAACACTAGGCACCTGGTGGCTGCAACAAAGCCAGGATCTCGTCTTTCTGAGTGTGCAACAGTTATGCACCTGCTAACAATACATTCACCATGGGAACCCTTTCTCCACCAAGAGTGAATACCATCCCAAAAGAAAACTTAAAAAAAAAATGTCATTGTCATCTGCAATTCACAAAGAATCTGCCATCCTGTCAGGTGGTGGTGGCACACTCCTTTAATCCCAGCACTCGGGAGGCAGAGGCGGGCAGATCTCTGAGTTCAAGACCAGCCTGATTTACAGAGTGAGTTCTAGGACAGCTAGGGCTATACAGAGAAACCTTGTCTTGAAAAAGGCAAAAAAGAAAAAAAAAAGAAGAATCTGCCACCTCAGCAGTGACCCATGGTACTTTGGACAGGTGCTGTCGTCTTTGATGAACACTGCAGTTGCAGTTACTGAAATCAAAAAGCCCCTGTTGAATGGATGTGTTTATTTTTATAAAAGGTCCTGAGAATCTTCAGTGACAGGTCTAGAAAATCCATAGATGCCTCTCCTTCCAAAGCGGCATGGTTTCCACATCATTTGGCCCGAGCATGATGCCTTCTTAGTATTTCCAGGAGTCTGACTGTGTTGAGATTGAGTAATGGAGGCAATAACTGGATCATATA